AATATAAAATAAAATAAACATCTTTTGAGTATTATATTTGATGTTTTGGCAACAAGAAGATGACAAAGATAAGTAATGCAAGTGAGATTGATAAACCCCAAAAGGGTTTAATTCTATAACACCTAGAGATGCTTCTTACATCATCGTTTTCTATAGTTTATTACAATGCTTTGAAGGGTGCCCTGTGTTCTTATTGGCTGTAGCAGCTCCCATAACAGTCTTTTGTTAAACACAGCTTAGCCAATGTTAATTAGGGGTATTGTTGTCACTTAATAGTACAAAAATAAAGCTAAGTGGCCCCAAAATCAAATCCTAATAGTTGGGTTATTACCACATGATTCTACGTGAATAATAGTAATAGATTAATGTTTAAGGCCCAACAAAATGACTTGCCAAAAGCTTATGTCACATGCAAAGAATCAAAATATGGAAAAAGATTGATTAGATAAATGATTAATGTGGATTCTAATGTTCACATATCCTTTGAAAATTAATGATAATATAAGGCGCAATTATCGAATATTCGCACGCATAAGACCGGTTGATTATACTAATGGATTGCCTTCTTGAGCTGCAACCCCAGCATGTGAGGAAATCTCGGGATTGAGTCCCTCTGCACAAGCTTGGCACAAGTTTTTTTTTTTTTTTTTTCCTCTCTCTCCTTCCCTGATCCGATCTTACCTACCCGCAGGCCACAACAATTTCCGTAACTAGAAACTCTTCTTCAGATTGCTCCTCTTCCAACCCATTTCATATTCTATCATTTTTGTACCTGAATATGCATGCCTCGGACAGTTCCAATGTCTCAACATTTTGGTCAATGCAAAAAATGGCTCAAGAAGATCAAAATCATTTTAGTTTACATTGAACAAAACAATAACAGGAGATCTTGTCTTGCCTTTAATCTTGCCAGCATGAATAGGGATTATATTTAGCAATTTGCTTGATTATAAAATAAAAAATAATCCTACAAGCTACGAGTAGAGAGATTATTCGAGTTGTTTGCGTACATTTCATATAAGGATTAGGCAGTTTTGAAATCTTTAAGGAATTTTGAAGATTATTGATAAAGTAACTAGCCTGATTTCAATATTACTTGAGCTTCTTCAGTTTATCAATGCGGTATTAGTTGCAGTTCTCATGATCAGGTAAAGGCCCAAAGGTTTAACCACTACTGGGTCAGGAACAAAGTCCAATCACCTTAAGAATAGAAGTGGGGCTGGACCTTGTTATGAATGAAGTCCAAGCCCAACTCTTGAAAATCTAAAAGGCGTTTTACGGAAGTACCGATACTTGCGAACTGGGCCGGTTCCGTGTTGTGTTTAAATCCCAAGTACCAAAACCTGATGTAAGCAAAACTGAGAAACTAGTGTTCCAGTTCCGTAAATTTCACGCTTTGTGTTTACTTTGACAGAAGCGTACGATCAAGGGTTTCTCTTTCCCTGAAATTTTAGGGTTTTTAATGCAGTAATTATTTCTAGGGTTTTGTTTTCTTTTTCTAGTTGGTGCAATTAGGGCTTTTCTTGTACAATGGACTCTGATCTGGCGAAGCTATTCGTTGGAGGAATTTCTCGTGAGACCAATGAAGAGACTCTAAGATGTCACTTCAGCAAGTACGGTACGGTTCTGGGTTCAGTGATAGCTAGGGAACGAATCACCAAAAACCCTAGAGGGTTTGGCTTTGTTTGGTTCTGTGACACTTCTGCAGCTGACGAAGCACTCAAAGATGGTCACGTTATCCTGGGAAGAACGGTGAGTCTAGCCTCTTCAATTATTTTATTTGCTCCTATGCTTTAAGGAACTATGTATAATTTTTCGTTAGTTCTGTTTGTTTGTTGAGAAAGGTGACGGAAAGGAAGAAAAGGAGAATCTTGAATTTATTCTCTACTTTATAATAGCTAGAAAGCTTTAATTAAATGACGTAATTAATTTTTATTTCTGCGTTGCTAAAGAAGCCATATGGTAGACTTTCTTAAACAGAAGTTATTTTTTCTTAACAAAAAAAAAAGGGGTAGCTGCAGTAGGGTGGCCATTTTTAATTTGGTGCCCAATGGAAATATTCAGGATTTACAGGTTCTTTTTTCTTGTACCTTTTACAGAGACCAAACAGAGCTTAGAATATATATTTTGTTTGATTCTGTCATTTCGTTTCTTGGGTAGATGTGAAAAGAATATATATTTTGTTTGATTTTGTCATTTCGTTTCTTAGGTAGATGTGAAAAGAGCAATACCCAGAAGTGAACAACACCAAGACCAACAAAAGCAGCAACATTACCCAAATGAACAACAGAATAGTCTCTCAATTAAGAATACTAGTAATGGTGAGATTGATAATCATATTAGGACAAAAAAGATTTTTGTAGGTGGTTTATCAGCTAATCTAACTGAGGAGGAGTTCAAGAATTACTTTGAGAGGTTTGGTAGGATTATAGATGTAGTAGTTATGCATGACAACATGACAAACCGGCCTAGGGGATTTGGTTTCGTCACCTATGATTCAGAGGAATCTGTTGAGAACGTGATGCAGAAGACTTTTCATGAGTTGAATGGCAGGCTTGTTGAAGTTAAGAGGGCTGTGCCGAAAGAGGAAATAAATGGTAGTACAGGTAGCTCTAATGCAAGATTTGGCATCGGAAAAGGGTCTCCTTACCGAAGTTTTCGTTCTGGCAATTGCCCTCCATATTCTCCGGGATATGGAGTTCCCCCTTATGCTCCGCTTCCTGGGCATGGTGGTGTTGGAGGATTTCCTGGAGGAGGCATATTGGGGGGTGGGTACCCTATGGTTGTATATGGCAAGTATGGTTATGGGGTTCCCCCAATTGCCCCTAGGAGCCCCTGGTATGGCCCTGCGATGATTAGATCTGGGGCATGCCCTGTTCCTTATGGCAATGCTTCCATTTTTCCTGCTTACCTGAATGGCAGAGTTGGTGTGATGGGAATGACAGCTGGTGGTTACAATGGAACTGTTGGTGCTGGAGTGGACGGGAAATTAAGTCAGGTTCTGGGTGGCAGTGAACATTTGCTAGCTAATGCAGCACCATCTCATATTGAAGGGGTGTAATTAGATGTCGAGTGTACGGATTTTAAAGGAAGTAATGATGGTGCTTCTAGTGAACAGAATCAGAAAGGTGTGGATGGGCGATTTAAACCTGTGCCTGTAGGTTTTTCTAGATGACCAGGCTTATTTTTCGGGTGAGCATTGAAGGGTAGTAAATTCTTTCACTGATTGGGTAGGCCATTTAACTTTCATTGTTATTATGTTATTGTCTTTTTAGATGTTCTTTACGTGTGCTATAAGCATGCCGCTTCCTATGTGTCATCCCTAGTGTTCAATAATTTGTCAGTACAGGATTCTGTCTTCTGTAATATAATTGCATATTGCTTTAAATTCTCTCTTCCTTTCTTGCCCTTTCTATTATTTCATATTAATGTTAATGTAATGAGGAATATTATTAGTGCTAGAGCACTTGATTCTCAGTACTCTATAGACTTGCTATTTTTGTTGTTTGTGAGCATTCTTTTATTGTTAACTTATCAGTATGAGAATAGAGGTTCTCAGTCAGATATATAGATTGGCTTTAAATGAGATTTCATTATAATTGTTGTAAATTTTAGAAACAAAGAGTTTGATTAATTCGTAATTATGAGAATTTGATGAATTGAGGTGTGTGATATGATTGCACAGAGAAGAAAGTGATTGTTGGGGAGAGATATTTTTATCCTTTTGATGGGCAAATGGGTGGTAATTTTGCTTGTGTGCATCAACAATTCAACATGGACAAGGGTCTGCAAGTCTTTGACAAGCATGTTTATTTACTTTATACGAACACAACTGAGCTATTGATGCACTATGGAGTTGGTTCAAATGGAATGTTTCCAGTTTCCCCAAGAGATCAAATGACTTCTGGCATCACTGCACTTGTGACAGCATTGGATTTTAATGAGGCAGGTCTAGTCATGTGATGTTATTTGATGTTTTTAAACAATGCCTCAATGGTAATAGATGTGCTTTTGTAACGACTGTTGACTGTATTATGTTAAAAAAGTCATCTGGATCTTGTATATAATAAAATATTGAATTTAATAAATACAGCTTCTCAAAAAATTTGTAAATATGACTTGCTGGATCAGGATCCTCCCTTAAATCTTATTTTTCCTAAGCTTTAGAATATCCTAAAGCTCTTACCAATTAAGAAATTATAACTTAAAAACATTCCTTCCCAAATAATATTTTTAATTTTTATATTCGACTCTGTTCAAATTCAGTAACCTAAAATTCCAGAATGAAAGGCAGAGTTCCTAAGCATCTTGTAATCTCGAATAAAAATTCTGCACGCTCTGGCATCATACAAGAACATGGCTAACCTGGTTTTGGTTTTGGTCTTTCTAATGAAATAGCATGGGTTTAGGTGTAGGACTTTTAACGGCAACACGTATGGTGTATGTACGGTTTAATCATTTCCGATGCCATTTGGGAGGTGGTTTCGTAAATGTTTGGGAAGAAGGCCTCTTCTAATGATGATCCAGCTTCCTAAGGTAAGAGTAGAGTCACATATTCTTTGGAAATTAAGAAGTGAAAAACAGTATATTTTGATTGCTAATTTTTTAATTGACATGTGTTTTAAGATGTTCAATAGTTTAATAAAAATAAAGATTACGAGAAGGATATTTTGGATTTTTTATTTTAACTTTTAAGCACAAGCAAAGGAAGGATTGTAAACAATTTGCCTTGAAGTTGTAATTTCTGATTTATTTTTCTAATTAGTCACCACCTTGCTTGGCATTCACAAGTCTTGTTTATTATTTTTTAAAATGATAATGGTGGATCACACATTTTCAGCAAATTATAATCACTTTTCTTTTGGTTCAGTCGAATTTATTAACTGGACAAACACTCGTTTTTTGCACATATGGACGGTCCAGGTCTAGGTCCAGCCCATCATAAGTTCATAAAAGACATTTTATTTTTATTTATTTATTTACTTTTCCAATTCTTATGGTCTACAAGCCACGAGTTGATAGAGTTTGTAAAGAGAAACGCAGCAGCCGGACTGGTGCTCTAAACTGAACACAAACAAACAGATAGATATGATGCTGCTTAGCCAACCTCCTCTATCAACCCGAAAATGCTCTATCAATCTTAAACTAACAAACCCCAATTCACCTCCTTTCTCTAAATCAAAATCCAAATTCATCATTGGAACTGGAACTAGAAGAAACGCTTCTAATTCTAGACCTCTCAATCTCACCCTGGCAAAAGCCGACGGAACTGTTGATTCTAATGCCGCCGCCAAACAACCTACTTCCACTTCTCCTCCTTTTAACAATCAAGATACAGTTTTTGTCACTCAAGAGGATATTCCTTTGGAAGGCGTTATCCAGTTCGATAAACCCGATTTCTCTTCTCGTATAAATAAATGGGGGTTATAATCTTTCACCTTTTTTACGGCTATTCACGTTCTTGATTGTTGAAGAATAAATGAAATTTAATCTTGTTATGGTATTGCAGTCGTGTGGCTCTGCTTGCTGGTGGGGATGTGTTGGCTTTATTTCTCTTTTCTGCAGTTGGAAGATTTAATCACGGGTTCTCAGTTTTTGACGTTGAAACACTGCGTACAGCTGACCCTTTTATTGCTGGTAAGTTTGTTATCTTCATTCTGCCTTAAGTTATAGCAGGAACATTAACATACATTTATTTATGTACATTTTAATGGGTTATTTTGTAAATAAATGTGAATGTCTGTATTGATAGGCTGGTTTCTGAGTGCCTACTTTCTTGGGGGGTTTTCGGAGGACGGTCGTGGAATGAATGGTCAATCTAAGGCTGTTTTAGCTGCTGCTAAGTCCTGGGCTTTGGGGATTCCAGTAAGTTTGTATTTTATAAACTTTTTGGATATTTTGTGTTTGTCATTTTGAGTGCTGGTATTGAATTTAATCTTATCAAGTGCTTTTTGTTTTTGAAAAGAAGCCATTCCTACAAATATTAATAATAGTATAATAATTTGGATTCTTTGGCGGAATCACAATATGCTCCTCCTCATTTTATATTCTGTTAAATATGAAGTTCCACATTTTGTTTCATATAGGATTCCATGTTAAAACTTATCATCTTAAATGGTGTAATTGCTAAAGGAGCGGTTGAGCAGCCATCTACACTGTATGAAAACTTGTTCATGTATTGTATTAACTTCTGAGGATTTTTTGTTTCATTGGTAATCTGACATAATCATAACACATAGTCTAGACTCATGTTAGTGCATTGTTTGAGCTACATACAAATGGAAAGGAAAAGGGAATTCTAGGAAGTTGCCTCTTCAGTTGAAAGGGAATGAAGATTTTAATCTGCCAGGCGAATTGCAAACGGTCCACACTGTGGAGTTTTGTTTCAATTGTGAAAGTTGTTGGTTGGATATAATATTATTCAGTGGTTGAAGCATTGCTTAGGGGAAAATTATGAGGTTATCATCCAGATTGAAATGAACTTCAGTGGAGTGTTTTCTCTCGCATCTTGAGAGAGGATCGATTAATATAAGAAAAGTAGATCGAACATTTAATCATCTCACAATCTTCCTTAGAGAAGAAAAGTTGACAATGCATCTAGTTGTTTAAGGTAATGTACAATATGGCAAATCATCACAGAGCATTGGCTCTTTTAATCTGTTTCATCCTTCATTTGAGTTTGGATGATACCTGAGATCTTGAGATGCTGTTCACTAGAATCTTCCACCTGGAAGTGTGTAATTAAAGGGTGTTAATCTTTATTATAGATACACCCTTAGATTTAAATTATTAGTTTCAGTCTTAAACACGTGGTATCCTTTCTATTAACGCTTCCTGCACTTTTTCCATTAACCGTTTACAAGAGTGATATCAGACTGTTAGAAATCATATGGGTTTGAAGTTTTAAAATTTATATCTTGTCTTAGTATTGTGTGTTTTTGTGAATTCTTCTTTTCCTTTAGACTATCAATACATGCAGCCTTTCATTGTCTTAAAACTTTCCTATTGATAGTCTTCAAGTTGCACATGGTAAATACTATCTCAAACAAGCTTTTGTTTCATTTTTCAATTATGAGTGCACCTTACCTATCAGGAGATTTCAGTTCAGATTTGATCCATTCTTGTCTCATGACTCATAATGTCAGAAATGTTCAAACAAAAGTTTAGTTCTATAGAGTGGAAATGCTGTTTCACTGATCAGCAAATAATAGATCATGGGATTTTTTAAAGTTACATTTTTCTCTTACATCTGTGTTTGAAACATCATGAGGAGAACATACTTGATGAAATTCCATTCTTTCCTCCTCTCTTGGCAGTTGGGATTAATTATAAGGTCAGTAACATCAGGCCATATTCCACCATATGCCTTCATCTTAGTGACAATGGGGAGTACTGCTGCTCTACTTATTGGATGGAGAGCACTGTTGTTCAGCTTTCTTCCCAATGATAACAGCAAGAAAAATGATGTGTATCGTCGTGGCAACCCATTTGAATTATTTGAGGTATGAAACTTTCCCGGCTTAATTGCCCAATATATTTAAAAACTGTAGTTGTTAGCTTGCATAACAAAACATACAAGTTTGCTGCTTCCTCATTGTGATTATACTTTATCTTCATCAGTATAGTTGCTTGTGGAGTTCTAACTAGCCTGCAAATTATCTGTATCTAGAATGCAGGTTGCTGCTTTGGTTTTGATTTTAAAATGTATTTTCTTGTTGAACAGTGTCAGCAATCTCAATTAATTTGCAAGATTCACACTTTGCATTTCTCCTATTGACTACTTAATGGTTCACTGGACCAAATCTTTCTCCTTGGGAGGAAAAAAGAAGAATAAACATTTTTTGTGCAAACTTTTTTTTATTTTTTTTCGACACTGAAAGCTTAGGACCACTTCAATTTCGTATCAATTGTTTCCTTTCCTTAATTTTGACGTAGGTGCCATATTTATGTGTCAAACTTCTGAATTATTCGTTGTTTTTACTGATGGCTTGGTGCTGGCTTTACCCTTTTTCAGATACACTTAGATGATGATTTCTAACAGCTTAAAATTTCTTTTTTTGTTGCAGTTGCTGACATCATTGGTAAGAAGGTGGTAACAATAATAGCTTTTTCATGTGTGCTTGTACCATATGCATGGGTTATTTCATCGCACTATATTAATTTTCTTAGTTGCTTGTGCATATGTTTTGTACTTATGAGCTATAAATTGTAAACAGGTAAGAAAAAATATTGGGTAGATGCTAATCATATGTGAATTTTGATACTTTAATTTCAATACTGTAGCACTTGTTTGAACTCTTCTGTGTATATTTTCTTCCTTTGACATTTAGCTTGTGTATAGCGGAAAACTATGTAAAGCAGTGGTAACTTATCCGAAAACTGCTCTTTTTGGTCAGTTATGCTTATGTCCAATTCTGCCGCATCTAATTTTTTGAAGTTCATTTGTTTTTGTTTCTAAAAGTTAATTTATCAGACTTTTTATTTGAAGTACATTAATATGCAAAAAATCAGAAATATGACAAAAGTTTATTTTTATTTTATTAGAAAATCACAAAGTACTATCACCACATTAAGTAGGATTGTATTAGAAAGAAGTGCTGACATTTTCTAAATTAACTAATTGCTCTTCCTTTCGTTTGCTATTTCTATGCTTTATTTTATAGGTAATTGACATCCTTATGATTCTACCTAAATTCTTAAATGTTGCATATTTTTAGCTTGTATTTGATTTGGGAACTGTAATACTACCCCTCGGGTAAATTTAATAATTTATAGATTCAAATGTTTGGAATATTTATCTATTCCCTTCTGGCCTATGTTATACTGCATGATGCTTTAGGGTGAATGCACCGAATATTGGCCCTCCGTACAAGTGGCTGAATTCTGAAATTCTTGTCGGTCTTCTGGAGACTTTGGGCAAAACTGCCGTCCGTAAAATTTGAATCTACCCTCTCATATGATTCAGTTTTTCTTTTAGTACTTCCCATTACTATCACTTAACCTTATTAATTTGGCAATTTATCGTATAACAAAAGGGATAGTGATATCTCCCAAACATTACGGTGGATGGTTTCGTAGGTGAAGGCTTGAATTTTGGTTAAAGTACATGTATTAGGTTAGTTTTGTATTAGTAACTTCCGTTTTCAACTAATTTCTTTTGAATATTTAGAAACTTAAGAAGATGTTCCTGATGGATAATTGAACCATCGGGATTGGGGTGTATGTGTATCCATACTTGATTTTTGAGTGGAAAAAGCTCAAGCAGAAGTGTTAGACGTATATAATTTGCAGTTTGCTGGAGTGCCACGCAATGATTTGACAGGCATGTGACCGCAAGTTTTAGGTGGGCTTGTGTTATTAGAATTTAGACGGGCCAGCGGCTTATCACTGCGCTACAACCAATAGCCGTCACAATTGGGAGATTGGCCCTTTCTATTTGTAGCCTCCTTTTCACCCTCAGGTGTCCCATCACTCTGAATAACGAAAATCAACCATTTCTTTTTCAGTTTTTTTATTTCCTCTCTTCCCACAGCTCACCCTGTTACTTAGACCATTGTTTCTTATCATATTATCGTTGGCTATTTTTTTTTTTTTTCTTTTTAATTGCTGTCTAACCGTTCTAACAAAGGCCATTACAAGTCAAATAAAAATAAATTAGAGGAAAAGCCAATATTTAGGGACATCTTTTAATCGAACAACCAATTGATGGAAGTTAATATTAAAATGGGTTAATTTTTAACTTTTCGTTTTTGATAATATTACATTTACAATTTAATTTCACAAATGTTTCTCACAATTCTAATGTGATAGTTCGTGATTGGTCAATTTGCAATAGATTATGTTTGTCCAACAATATGTTATATCTGTCCAATTGCAAGTTTACCAATTACGAACTTTCACATCGGGATTGTAAGAAAAAATTTATAAGATTTGATTATAAACTAATATTTATTGATAAGTTTAGAACATACACTCTAGATTAGGAATTGTTAACCTGGCTTAGCATCTTGTTAAATTATCTCTATCCTCTACTAATGAAGGGGTGCTTATCAATAACTTGAGAAATTTAGGAGGAGGTCAGAGGTACTTACAAGAGAAGTGAGTGATAGTTTTAAAATGATATGAGGTATTTGCTAAATTAGGACAAATGTCAAGGAAGGTTAATGAAAATCAGGATAGATCCCTTTTGTGTAAACTAAATGCAGGTGAAGTTGAAATTTTGATACTATTTGATAAATACTTAACCTAATTATATCTAACAGTCGTTACATTATAGAAATGTGGAGTAAATGCAGCAAACTTGGAAATTCCATATTTAAGAGGCGAAACCAACTTGCTGCAGGCTACAGTTCTAGGTTTGAAATCTGTAACGTGGATACGAAATTTGAAGACGTTGAAGTAAAGCGGTGGAGCAGTGGTAGGTAGCTGCATTGTTACCATTGGTCAAAGGTATGCCCTATCACGTGAAGTGGTTTTGAATTACTTAGCGTAGCCTAACCAAGTCAAAACAAAGCACGTTTGCTTTTATATAAAAGCGGACAGTCTGACATTATTACCATAAGTAGATAAAATGCGTCTTCCATTAACACGTTAAAGACGGCATAAATTTGATATCCATTCTCAGTTCACGTAGCAGCAACTACCAAAAACATTAAAGGCACATCATTCATTCATAACCCTAACCCTCCCTACCCACCTCCTTAACTTGATTTTAATGTCACTCTCACTCTCTTAGGAATATATGCAATAATCAACGTAAGTTATTGGGATTTTGCTTGTTTAGTCGATGGTGGTCTCTTTCTATGTACACACTTGGGTTCCCTTTAAGACGATGCTTAATTGTTAAAAATGTAGGGTAGGGTAGGGTATGGATACGGTAGCCTCGCATTACTCCGTGCATATATGGATGATGCATCACAGTTCACAGTTATTCAGCAAGCTGTCGTCCCTCATGTTGTAACCTTTAAAGAGGAAACATTGAAGAGAATCTAAGGTGATTGTGACATGACAAAATGGGCTTAGATTTTGACGTGTCATCAGTGATAGAGAGAGAGAGAAGAAGAAGAGATTAATGACAAATAGAAAATGGTGACGTTTGGAGTTAAAAAGTGTTAATTCTTGCTTATGCATGGAAGGGGAGCCTTAATGGAGATAGAGACCCAGGTCTCTCTCTGTCTTTAGTGAAGGGAGTTGAAAGAATTAATGAACCAATGCATAAAGGAAAAATATGAGATGAAAGAGAGAGAATGAGTCGTATATTTAACATAAAACACTGGAGCCACAGGCCACATCACAGCTGTTATTGTCGTCTCCTTCATCTGTGCTAGCCATTCTCTATAATCCACTTTCTCCCTGTAACTGTTGGCCCCTCTTATTGGCCATTGCCTAATGTTTGTGATCTTTCTTTAGATTTTGTGTTCTCACGTGACTCTCCAAATTCATTCCCTTATTTATGTATTTTTCTCTCTCTGGGCCGGGTGCCTGGGCCTCACGGTTAACATAAGGCTGCACTACACAAAAACTAACATGAAATAAAATGTTGGTAATTGTAAAAGTGTACATAAAAATATATTATTCGAAACTGAATTATACTATTAGTATAATTCATATCAAAATCAAATCAAATTGTGATCTGATCTTCTGTTTTGCGTGTACAATAGCAAGCAAGCTGGAGGCAATCTGTACCCAATATATGTTGTTTGGTAGGTAGTATGCAGCCTTCTTAAATTACAAGTTGGCTTTTATAAGCAATCTACATTTTCTTTCATCTCTCAACACAAGTACACAATATTTATTTTTCAGTAGAAAATTTGTTGTTGTATACACGTCGCCATTGGCTATAGCAACCCTGCCACTGCCAGTAAATTTTTTAACGATTCAGCCTTGAATTATCTGGTACTATAGTTACTTTATTTTATGTTCCAGATTTGAATTTCTCTTTTACTGCTTTATGGGTTAGCTTTCTCGAAATTAAATTGAAGGTGAGTAACTTTTAGATGAGAAAGAATTTGGCTAATTCATTGATCAATTCAACGAAAGAAATAAAGAAAGGAAAAGAAAAGTAGCGTTGAGAAAGGGAAATTAATCTAAGTTGTCACTTTTTCTAATCTTGCCGGGCCATCTGTATGGTTAAATTTTTCCCAGAGATATCTGCAGAGGCGGGATTAAAAACGCAAAAATAATCTTCTCCATTGGTAATGGAGTGAGTAAAGTTGGGCATGCAACTGTTTTCTACTGTCTTTTGTCGTTCTAAGCTGTATGTGTTCTTTCATTTTCCTATTTTGGCTCTCAGCCTCTCTCCATATGAATTGTGAGGTCCACATCTCTGACCAAATTCAAGAGAGGTGATGTATTCTCTCTTTCTCTTTGCCCTCTGTATTCCATGCTTAATTTATTATTAATTAATGGCGTAATGAAGCTGTAACTGCTGATTAATTACCATAAATTAATATACATGGATACTGTGCCAAAAGCGACATATTAAAGACAAACAAACAGTAAATATACCAACCCCAGGATACGCATTTATTGGGAGTGAAAAGGAAAAGGATGATGAAAATGAAAGAATAAATGTAAAATAGAGCACTTTGCAATGCTCTAATTCAAGGGAAAAAAGCTTAGTGATCTCTCTGATGGTGGTGTTGGGATTCAGTCATCATTACTACATAATAAAAAATAAAGAATCCCTTCCCACCTCTATGCGCACACACACACACACACACGCTCTTCCTAGTACTTTGCTTTTCCCTCCCAAACATCTTCGCTCTTGTTTTCAACCAAATCATTCTCATTTGAATTTCTGTCTCCATGACTAATGATATCATCTTCATGCACACTCTCAATCTCCATGCAACTACGATTCATAATCATTTACCAAAACCCTAAGTAATGTAATTAATTGCTGATGATAAGAGCATCAACTCAAACTGATCTGCTCAGCCGTGAAATAAAATGACTCGTACAATAATGCATGTTGTATGCAAAGAGAAAGCTCTTTCTCAGATAGTACACAAAAATAAAGTTATTATTCTCTGTAACTGTAAATTATTTCAACTTAAGGAGTAGCACATATTCTTCCAAAAACATGTGAAAATCAGTATCTAAACTAAAGGAAAGAGAAATGTGTATTAAAGAGACTATAATAATTAATTAATCTATATGAATATAATACAATTTCCACAAAAGCTTGTTTTTCGGGGCCCTTTGCTCATCATTCCTGGAATATTTCAAGCTTAACCCAGACCCACTTCCCACTTTTTGTCTGGAAGCAGGTGTTGACTAAATCCATTTTCTTACAATAAAGCTAATGGATTTCCTGTGCTTTTCCCCATTTCCATTTAACTCTCCACACCACGCGTTTCTTTACCATTTCCATCTTCTTTTTCCTTTTTTTCATATCAATTTTTTATCATATCCATGTAAACTCTATATATTAGATTGTTTAAGAGAAAGAAAAAAAGGGATTTCTGCTGCTCCAATCACGCGCCTCAAGAGCGCAGAAAAAGGCTCATTCATTCGGTTGTTGAGCAATATTAATCTTCCTGTGATTGTATATTATTCCTCCTTAAATGGGATATTGCGATGTGAAGAGCGAATTTGGCTGTCTTTCCAGATTGTTTCACGCAATAGATTTTGATGCAGCTGGGGCTGCTGGTTTTAGTTTTTTTTTTTTTTTTTTGTTTCAATGAAAAAAAAGAAAAGAAAAGAAAAGGAGTAACCAGCAAATATAGCAGTGACAGTACCATCAATTTTCTCATTTTTACATTATATTTTCCTCTGCTCATTCTAACATCACAGGCACAGCTAACGGATGATAGCCAACTTCATTAATACCAGTGTCAGATGAATAAAGCGCAACCACAGTAGAGGTCACATCAGATCACTCCACAGGAGACACCTATATTTATCTAAATCAACGGTGGTAATGCGCTGTGACCATTTTGTTATCACAGTATAATTTTAAAGGTTTTTTGTCGTTTTAGATTTTTCTGAATTGAAAGCTGTGAAGCAAATTGGATAGGCGCAGTATTTAATTAGTTTGAAAGAAAAAAAAACACCTTACTTTAGATAAAATAATATAATTAAATTGAGTTAATTCATTTTCAGTCCCGGTGGTTTCAGTTTACTCGTTTCAGGATAATGGTTTCAAATACCACTGTTTTAGTCCTTTGACTAAATAAAATGTTAGTCGACTATTAACTTTATGTCCAAAGGACAAAAATAATCCTTTTGAGTAAATTTAAATAACTTCAAAAGAGGGATATTTTTGTCCTTTCAGTATAAATTTAACTAATATTTTATTTAGTCAAAGAGCTAAAACCGTTGCCCTAAAAGAGGAATAAACTGAAACCATAGGGACTAAAGAGAATTAACTCTAATTAAATTGGATCCCTTGGGATGCAGAGTGGGCACAGAAGCTGTACTACTGTATGAAATGACTGGATGGACAGACGTCCTGCCCGTCAAATCTATCTAAGACACTGTGGACTGTAAAAAATTAATAAACAAATAAATAAAGCTAACCGGGTATGTTTATATGACCCTATTGGCTCGACACAATCCACTAGATTCAACTGACTCAAAAAATTGTCATTGAGGAGAGAGAATTAATAATTTTCTGGGTTTTGGTGGGTAATGAGGTGTTATAAAGGATATGGGTTCATTTGATAAATCAAAGGGATCCGGGTTTTTTGTAGGGTTTTAGAGAGTGTTAATAAAAGGGGAAAGGAGGAAGAGAGAAGATAGTAAAAGCAAAAGACGTGGTCTTTCTCATATACACAGATCCCTATGGAATGCAGGGTTGCTACCCAGCATTGCTTGCCTGGAATTCATTCTTTTTTTTTAGTTTAAAGAGACTAGTTTTATTCTCTTCAGACGCTCGGACAGAGACTTTGGTTTGGTGGGGATTTACATAGATTGTAGAGTTTTAATGTTGTCATGAGAAAATTTTCTTGGCAATGACTTCTTCTGCTACTAGACAACAAAAATAGCTAAGTTTGATGAAGGGAGGCAAGATATATTGGTTTATGATTAGTTTATTTCGTTGCCAATGATTGAGTTGCCTTGCACAAAGAGATACTTCTAAGAAAACTCTGTTAGCAAGAAAAGGAAGAGAGAAGTAGACGATGAAGTCTGTGAATGATGATAGCAACGGCAACACCAATAATAACTGGTTGGGTTTCTCTCTCTCACCCCACATGAAAATGGAGGTTAATACTGAACCTCATCATCAGTACCATCATCAAACTCACCCTCCTCCTACACCTGTTTCTAATGCTGTTCCTACAAGCTTTTACTTGTCTTCTTCCAACCTTAACCCCACTGGTATCTGTTATGGTGTTGGAGAAAATGGTGCTTTTCATTCTCCTTTGTCCGTGATGCCACTCAAGTCGGATGGCTCACTTTGTATTATGGAGGCTCTCACTAGTTCACAAGCAGAAGGTTTGCTTCAGTCTCAGTTTTTGTTCCTTGTTTACTCCCTTCCAGGTTTATTCTTATTTTTTAAAAAAGTAGTGCTCAGGGCCTTTATTGCGTTTAATTTTTTTTTATCATTATTTGTTTGTGTATAAAGGTATTGTGCCAAGCTCATCACCGAAACTTGAGGACTTCTTAGGTGGTGCGACAATGGAAAGTCATCAGTATGGAAGCCATGAAAGAGAAACAATGGCTCTCAGCTTAGATAGCATCTACTACCACCAGAGTGCAGCCTCAGAAACTAACCGGCAGCATTCTTTTGACCTTCTTCAAGAACAATTACGGCAACAAGACCAACACTTTCCAGTTCAAAACCACCCATATTACTTGGGAATGCCGTGCCATGGAATATACCAGGCACCATTGGAGGAAGAAACCAAGAATTGTCACCTTGCTGACTGTGAATCCCAGATCCCTCAAATGGGGGATGATGCATTAAAAAACTGGGTATCCAGGCACTACACTAATAGTGCACTGGAGCAGCAGATGAGTAGTGCCATGGTTGATGATGGAACTTCTGGGTCTGTTGGTGCAATTGGTTGTGGTGACTTACAGGCTTTGAGCTTGTCCATGAGTCCTGGTTCGCAGTCTAGTTGTGTCACAGCTGCAAGGCAGATCTCACCTGCTGCTGCTGACTGTGTGGGCATGGAAACAAAGAAGCGAGGACCTGGAAAAGTGAATCTAAAGCAGCCTGTTCATAGGAAGTCCATTGACACATTTGGGCAAAGAACATCTCAGTATAGAGGCGTGACAAGGTTAGTTCAACCGTGTTTCTAAACCAATATAGTTTCAGCTATGGTATTTGCTTAGCTGTTATTATTATTTCCTTCCCTTTGAATTAACTTGTTTGGAATGTTTCTATTCTCTAGTACATTTGTTTCTCCTGTGCACCTCTATTATTGTTTTCTGTTTTCTATTGAATGTTCAATTAACCTTGTCAAGTTACCTCTACCAGACACAGATGGACGGGTAGATATGAAGCTCATTTGTGGGATAACAGTTGCAAGAAAGAAGGGCAGACCAGGAAAGGGAGGCAAGGTCAGTAGAGCAAAAACAAAATACATTTACAGTTACATGTTTGGAAGTATTTCTTCTTTTGACTGCAACACTTGGGCCCTTTATCTACGTGATCTAACTTAATATTGAATTTCTTCCTTGTCTTGTACATGCTTCTTGTGGATGCCATTTCAATCAAATGATTCGTTCTTCAGTTTATCTGGGTAAGCTTTGTCATAAACGATAACTTACAACATTTCATAAAGAACCTTGATTTGGTCACTAAATTAAGTTAACACATGGATTTCAGGGGGTTATGATATGGAAGAGAAAGCTGCGAGAGCTTATGATCTTGCAGCTCTCAAGTACTGGGGACCTTCAACTCATATAAATTTTCCGGTATACAGTTCAAGCCTTTGAGAGTTTAATGATCCCCCCAGTAATTTTAGTTACTCAAAATGCAAGTTTTATTGCTTTTCATCCAGTTAGAGAACTACAGGGAAGAACTGGAAGAGATGAAGAACATGAGTCGTCAGGAATATGTTGCACATCTAAGAAGGTAAATACTATACATTTTTTTTTTCTTTTTTTTTTTATTGTTAGTGTGTTTACTATTCCTCCTATTTTAGAGGTAATATTTGTCTCTTCCTTTGATTTGCAGGAAAAGCAGTGGCTTTTCAAGAGGGGCTTCAATGTATAGAGGAGTGACAAGGTTCTTATTTTTATTTTTATTTATTTATTTAAATATTCCATTTTTCAGTTCTTTTATATAATGTCTTTCTTTTTTTCTATAGGCATCACCAGCATGGAAGATGGCAAGCTCGCATTGGTAGGGTTGCAGGAAACAAGGACCTTTATCTTGGGACATTTAGTAAGTTCTTAAATTGTTTAAATTCCTAACAAAAATTAATTTTCTAGCTGACTCTTTTCCTAATTTTAATTTGTTGTTCAAATTCTTCTGGGCTCATGTTACACATAAAGAACTTTTAAAGGACTCGTCTCTACGATGCCTCTGTTCTCCTATTTCCGCTAAAGAACAGTGGTGCTTTTTGTAAGGCTGATGATGACTTACTTTGAGACTCTGTACATTTTTAAGGCTGTTATCTCTGATGCAACGATAAAAGAGAAACAACAAAGTTTCTTCTGCCTTATTTAAAGCTAAATTTTTTATGACTTACTCATTCTTGCTAAGCTGTAGTAATCAGGATTATATGATAATGTATTAATATTGAACTTGATTCTAGGCACCCAAGAGGAAGCCGCTGAAGCTTATGACATTGCTGCAATCAAGTTCCGTGGGGTAAATGCTGTGACCAACTTTGACATAACTAGATATGATGTTGAAAGAATCATGGCCAGCAATACTCTACTTGCTGGAGAGTTTGCTAGGCGAAACAAGGAGACGGAATCAACCAATGAAGCCATTGAATTCAACCCATCAACACACAACAGCGGGGAACATATTCAACCACAAAATGAGAATGGAAATGGATCAGGTTGGAAAATGGCCTTGTATCAGACCCCACTGCAACAACCAAATACTGGCGTTGGGTCACTTGACCACAAATCCATGGATAATGGAAATTATCGTAATAATTCCTCCATCTCAGCAGCCCTTCAAGATTTGACAGGCTTTGATTCAGTGAACGCTAGTCAGGCAATGGTGGATGAATCAGCTAAGCTAGGAGGGAATCATTTTTCAAATCCATCATCATTGGTGACTAGTTTAAGCAGTTCAAGAGAGGGTAGCCCTGATAAAGCTGGTCCAACAATGCTTTTCGCCCGGCCACCATTGGCATCAAAGTTCATTAGTCCAACAACGGGTGTTAATTCTTGGTTTCCATCAGCAGCCCAGTTAAGGCCTGCTGCAATCTCCATGGCTCACTTGCCAGTTTTTGCTGCTTGGAATGACACCTGAGCTGAACCCTTGTAAGTGTTCAGACGAAGATCCAAAGTTTTGCATGAACGATGAAGGAATTGGCGGTGCTAGGAGAAAAAAGTATTAATTACTATTGCGTAAGATTTCAATTATGGCTTTTTCTTTTCCTTTTTAGTTATTAGGGGAGGTAATTGGGGCTTAATGAAAGACAAAGATGGGGACCATGTTGTCTCTCTGTAAGCAAGTGTAAGAAACTTTTGTCAAACTTAAAACTTTTGGCTCATATATGGAATTGAAAGATTTGACAAAATGGAGGGGAGGGATTTGTGAGAGGTCTAATGATTAAATTATGTGTAATGATGTTGGCAAAATAGAAGTGGCCCTTATATAATTGAATCTGCTTTTCTACTTTATAGTTGCTAGCAGCTAAGTACAAAACCAGCTCAATGTTTCCCAATAATGCAAAAGCCAATTACTTTGACCACCATTTCTCAATTCATAACCCAATTTGCTCCTCAATCCGCATTACAACATCATTACAATTCCTACTTTCTTATCTCATCTTTACTTGAAGCCCTTATCAGATGTTCGACTTCATCATTTAAAAAAAAGGCGTTGGACAGATTCTTAGGTGAATGATTTTAGTTTTTGTTTATTTTACAAACTAATGGCGATTATTTTTTCATAAAGTAGTTGTGGTTAAAAATTTCTTTAGCTTTTCTAATTCCGCTTGATGTAAACCCACAGGGATATTGCGTCTAAAAGTGATTCCATGTCCTGGTGTGGGCACTAAACGAGGAAAAATATTTATATAAATCATCGATTGCGTAACTGAGAGAACTCCCTCGTGTGTGAACTCATCATGATTATGTGCATGTACGAGCTCCATCGATCGCAATCTTTGATTATAAAGACGACAGGACAGGGAGGATTATATGCCGTAAAACCTGGAACTTAAATCTTTTATGCTATTCTAGTTGGATTCTGCATCTTATCATTTTATCCTGCTAATAAGTCCAACCTGACAGCAAAATCAGATATTAACCCATCCAAGACCAGCTCTTTACACAACGCTTTACGACAATATTGTTCTTCTTCGTAGATTTTAATCACTTTCCCCAATTCAAACTTCTGGATTATTGTACTTGAATACAGAACCGACCGTATTTAATGCCTTCATAAACCATATGATCTAAAGAGTCGATCTTTGCCCATAACTATTTATTTATTTTTGAACTAAAATCTGTAAATCTCTGAGCCTTACTTTATGTTGTTCATGCTTCACATATGAAGTGAGGTTCCAACTTCCAAGCTCAAATGTGGGAGTTCATAATTACAGAAGACTGTTTGAATTAGAACGTTAATAAGCTATTAATGGGAATTATGTGGTACGACATAAAATGATTCATGTCAAACTAGCTTTAGCATTAGTGTTTTGTAATTTGTCTTTAAGTTGAAATGCCTTACAGATTGCGATCACGGAAAACCCATGCTTTTCATGGAAAAGGTTAAAATATGAAGGCAAAAAATCAACCTTGATTAGACAAAGAAAAAGAAAGAGCATATATAAAGGGGAACACAACATCAACCATAACAATAACATAACAAGGAAAAGGTCACAATAGATGGATTGATGGTCAAAAAGATTGTAGCTCTTGTGGAAAAAGAATGCAAAGGAAATAGATACTTCTCCTCTTTAAACAATAAAGTAACAACAATCATCTGAATTTCTTCAAACCTCTCTGGTTTTAGTCAACAATTATGATTACATCTCTTGTTGTTGACAGCTTGGATTACCAAAAACCAAATTCGTGTTCAAAAGCATCCATAAAGTAATCGATTAATCTCATCACACACGAGTTAAGTCGGCCATGAGATTGGGAGATCTAGATTTAGTCAAGAAAATATGCCTTGCATATTGTGAATTACCCTCTTGTTAATCTAGGTTTTTGTGCTTAATATATGTTCCAATCCACTCATTATGGCCAAGAATATATGAGTAAACAATGTTGCATTAAGGAAAATATTGTTTTAATTTGGGAAGCTGTCTTGCCAAAAGGTGCTTCATTTCTTCTAAAACCCATAATTAAGGATTCAAATTAAAGGATGGGGTCATTCACTAATCAGTACTTGAATATGGTCCAAAGGGTCGATCATTAAAACAAAACTGAATCTTACTGCAGAGAGTTAGAATCTCTATATGGTCACGTAAGAGTAAGAGTGAGGACCACCCACCTGGCATCTCGTTCTCATCGAAATTTGATATTTTGATAGTATGTAGAGATAAGCTTACTAGAATAATGAAATACATTCAGGTGTTGTATTTGTATCCAACATTTTAGCAGTAAAGACAGGAAAAAAATGGATGGATGTTCTGTTGTTCTGTGTGAAGGAGTCTTGTTTCTTCCCGGGAGACCTCCACATTTGCCTGACTGTGATATGGACCTATCCTTAATTCAATATTTGTTCATGTGATTAGCTTGTTCATGTGGGCATGCATATATAATATGACATTATCAAATTCATTGAATTGCGTGCTAATAAATAGAACGATTCAAGGCTTAATTAATTAATTAGAAGAGATCTTTTTCGCATTGGATTTGGATGCTAATTTAATTCAATTTCGAAACTAATTAACATACCAAGTGCTGCAACAGATATTTGATAGGAAAGCCATTTAATGGATAGGGTCGATGCATTGCCAACTCACCACGCAACTTGTCAATCAGATTGAAAGCTGTGTAAGAGAGTAGATGAAAGCCATTGATGAAACATCTTCAGATGCCAGAATTCTTATACGCAAACTCATAAGAAAACACATAAATCATATGGGTGAGAAAGAGTTAATACATATACAGACATATTTTGTATGTTGGATAGAAATTAATTTTACGAAAGAGATGTAACTGCATCTGAATGCAGTAAATATAAAATTAATAGTTGATGAACCGTGTACGTCGTTGGGTTGAGACATGCATGTATGCTTCTGCTACTAGCGGACCCGTCTGCATTAAAGAACGTTTTGTCATCATCAAAATCTTCATTCATCACTCTCACCTGGATCTCGTTTGCTGTTTGAATTACAGTTTTGTCTTTTCCATTAATCTACCACTCTGCTTGCCAGACGTACGAACGCAAATTGCTTAATGGTGTAAGTGTATGGTAACATCTCGTTGCTTCTTCTTGCTGTAAATTTAAAGGAAGGCTTTTTCTTAGTTGATTCATTCTGCCAAATATTTGAAATTTTTGCTTTAATCGTGAGTCCAGACTGAGGATCCTGATATAATCCAGAAATTCAAGTAATGAATTGCGTGAAGTCGACAAGACCAAGTGTGTGAATCCGTACAGGAGGCTAGCCAGGGTAAATAAAACTAAAAGATGAGGGGAGTTGCCCTGATCCTGTTAAATTATCAAAGTACTTCGAAATATAAACCTACAGTTTTTGTTATTTCATATCAACCAATTGGGATGAGAGAGAGTGACAATAAAGTATAAACTATTAAAGAACAAGTGGGTGTTGGAGCTGTCAACGTCCAAAATCTAAGTGAGAATCTTTGGCTCCCTACTGAGACCTAATCGCTTGTTTGTTTGTCTGTTTTGCCTCGTGATCTAANCTGCAACAGATATTTGATAGGAAAGCCATTTAATGGATAGGGTCGATGCATTGCCAACTCACCACGCAACTTGTCAATCAGATTGAAAGCTGTGTAAGAGAGTAGATGAAAGCCATTGATGAAACATCTTCCGATGCCAGAATTCTTATACGCAAACTCATAAGAAAACACATAAATCATATGGGTGAGAAAGAGTTAATACATATACAGACATATTTTGTATGTTGGATAGAAATTAATTTTACGAAAGAGATGTAACTGCATCTGAATGCAGTAAATATAAAATTAATAGTTGATGAACCATGTACGTCGTTGGGTTGAGACATGCATGTATGCTTCTGCTACTAGCGGACCCTTCTGCATTAATGAACGTTTTGTCATCATCAAAATCTTCATTCATCACTCTCACCTGGATCTCGTTTGCTGTTCGAATTACAGATTTGTCTTTTCCATTAAATCTACCACTCTGCTTGCCAGACGTACGAACGCAAATTACTTAATGGTGTAAGTGTATGGTAACATCTCGTTGCTTCTTCTTGCTGTAAATTTAAAGGAAGGCTTTTTCTTTGTTGATTCATTCTGCCAAATATTTGAAATTTTTGCTTTAATCGTGAGTCCAGACTGAGGATCCTCATATAATCCAGAAATTCAACTAATGAATTGCGTGAAGTCGACAAGACCAAGTGTGTGATCCGTACAGGGGGCTAGCCAGGGTAAATAAAACTAAAAGATGAGGGGAGTTGCCCTGATCCTGTTAAATTATCAAAGTACTTCGAAATATAAACCTACAGTTTTTGTTATTTCATATCAACCAATTGGGATGAGAGAGAGTGACAATAAAGTATAAACTATTAAAGAACAAGTGGGTGTTGGAGCTGTCAACGTCCAAAATCTAAGTGAGAATCTTTGGCTCCCTACTGAGACCTAATCGCTTGTTTGTTTGTCTGTTTTGCCTCGTGATCCAACCACCGTAGAGACACGTGGCGTATATACGCCGTCTGTGTCACTGCTCCGCCGTAACCACCGTGTATGTCTCGTGTCTGTAACATTATCCTTTGTCTTTTGCTTTGACTCTTTGTATTTATGCTGAAAACTACCGAGGCGCAGCATGAGGTCCGTCAAGGACGCAGAGTCTGACAGTAGATTCGCAGCACCTACTCTACTGTAATCTGTACATAACAGATAACACGGCCTCCATTTTTTATCTTGACAAAACTACCCTTTGTTGAACCTCAATATGACACTCACGTAACATTTGTTCCCTGCTCTGTGGACTGGGCCTTCACACCATTAGGTCTACAAATCTAGGCCCAGTTTTTTAACTTTGCTCATTAACTTTGGGTTCAGACTATAGCAAGATAAATCTCTTGACTTTGGGCCCTATATGAGTTCTGCTTTTCGTGTAGCCAATATAAGAAGCTGGATGGCCTGGATCCAGAAAGAAAAAAAAAAAATATATAAAAAAAATTGTACAATAAGTTTGTAATTTCTTTAGCTTCATCTTCATGATTCATGTCACGTGTCTGTTCCCGTATTTTTTTAATAGCATTATATTATACATGTAGTGATACTGTGATAGATAATGGAACAGAGATCATAAATATTATGATCCAAGTGTTTTGTTGGGCTATTTCAAATAGTAAAACATTATCTTATACGATTGTAGTAAAGTTGTATGAATTACAAGGCCAGGCTCCTGTAAGTGTCTGGCTTGCCAATCTAAAAAAATATGG